GGCCTTTTCACTTTATTCTGCCCTTGCCTTTGATTTTCTTTCTTTTCCAATGTCTTTGCTTCGAAAGCATCAACCACTATGGTCAGTCGGGATTGGCCTGACGCACTCGCTGAGGCTGGGTATTTTCTTCGACTCTGACCAGGCGGAGCCTTGTGAAGCCGGTCCTGCCACCTTTTCTTTGTAATAGTTACGGAATCAGAGTTAAACCGAAAGGGATTCAAAGAAAAAGTATGCAAAAGGCAAGCATATGATTTTAAAGAGAAGCGTCCCTTTCGGGGGAAAAGAAGGACTTATCTGGGGTGCATGCTGGCTTCAAATGAACATGACATGCTTCTTGGACTGGACGCCCGACCCACACAAACTTTCCAACTTCCCGTGAACCCATTGATCCGCATTTCAAAACCAGGGAACCTTGCCAGGACTCTTTTAGTGATGAGATGTCTTCTCTTCGGCCAACAGCGCCCTTTGCGGGTTTTCGCCAATCGACCTCTCTTATTTCTCTTCTCACCGTCGCCCGATAGTGCTCTTTGCGAGTTTTCACTAAGCGGACTCTCTCATTTTCAGTTTCTCTACTCACCATCGCCTTATGGTGCCCGAAAGTTTTCACCGATAAGACTCTCTCATTTTATTTCTCTCAATTTGCATTGTGTCAGATTCCAACAATGACGTTTCCCACTTCCCTGCCTTTGCCAATTGATCGGAAGGACTTGGACAAGGTCTTTGGGGTAAAAAGAATTTTGGGCGGAACTACAACTTTGGAACCATTTCAGCGGACTCATGGCCGAACCATTATATCATCTGCCCCAGTTTCAACTTTTGGGGAAATTGTGATTTTTGTTTTGGTGTGACTGAACCTCAGGGAGAGGCTGCCTACGTATCCTTTCGGAATCAAGTCAAACGTAGTTCAGAAAAACTTTTGTTTTTGGTTGTTTTTGTTGTTGTTTTGTTTTTCTTCTCTTTTTTTTCATCATCATTCTTTTTTTTTCTTCTTTTTTTTCTTTTTCTTCTTTTTTTTGTTTTTTTTCTTCTTTTTTCTTTTCAATAGTACTTTCGGGTTCCAAAGAGGGTAGCCAAAGAAAAGTGACTGGCTCAAAGGGTTTGCAAAGGGTTGACAGTGTTTGGGTAGTGAGAATGAAAGCCTTCGTCATCCCAATTGAACAAACTCATTGCTGCAGAAAGCCTAGACATAGTACCTTTTACTGCATCCGCATTCACAGCTGCTTCGGGATCATTTCCTTCGATATCACCCAGATTCAGTGCTCCTCTCGGTAATATCTTTCTGATGATGTATGGACCCTTTCAATTAGGAGCAAATTTTCCTTTTACTTCCTGATGATGAGGAAGAATGCGTCTTAACACGAGTTGTCCCACTTCAAAATTCCTGGGATGCACCTTCTTGTTGTAAGCGCGGGCCATTCTTTGTTGGTACAACTGCCCGGATATGCCCTGAGTACAGCACACTCTTTTGTTGTAATGTATGGACCTTTCCAACCCGCGAACCAATTTTCCTTCAATTGTTCCAATTCTTTGTTTTATTTTCTCAAGGTTACCTTCTTTGCATTTCGACTCTTGATTCATTATTTCGGAATCTGACTGCGTTTTGGGATCTAGGCATGAAGTCCGCAAGCATGTCATGTTATTTAAAGCTGCATTATTAGAGCTAAAGAGAAGAAATGAAGGAGAAAAATAGCAAAATCAGAAAGGATAAAGAAAAATGAACGATGAAATATTGATTTCATTTCCTGGAATTTTGAAGATAACAGGGTTCACATTCGGGAACTTAAAGACAAGAAACTAAAAGAAACATCCGAGTTACACCTGGAATAACTCGGGATGCAGAAAAAGTAGCAGGACGGGTCTACCGGGACTCCCGCCTGATCGGGAATGGCGTAGCCTTCCAGTTTTGAAGCTTGGCGTTTGGTCCCATGTATAGCACCTCAGCGGTGCTAGTGCCCTCTCCCGGTTGGACCATGTGGGTTTCGTAGAGCATTTTCCACATTGCCCCACGTATTTCCTCACTTTCTTCAGCCGTGAAAACCTCATCATCTTCCCCTCTACTGTACTTAGGCTTGACAAAAGTTTCATACAAATGTACCACCTCATAATCGGCCATTTTCATTTTTTGAAAGAACACTTCGGCTTCCTCAGCACTCACAGGCTTCTTAGGCGGGAAACGCCTTCTGGTGGCATTGTTTACCCCCTCAATATTTGAATATTTCTCAACAAGGGGGTTTTTTAGCAGCTCACCCAAGATCTCTTTACCCTTGTACGTAACCACCGTCTGATGATAATTCCATGGTACCGCAGCAGGGTTCGTCATAGACTTCTGTGGTACGCGTCCAATAACCACTGGCTCACTCAGCCGAGGTGGTTTGATT